ACAGTGGTTCATCAGTCCATACTAGGAGAACTTGAAGAAAAGTGAGGAGGAATGAGGTAATCAGTCCCTCAACCTTGAGTCGATGGTTCAGTCCATCAATCTTGAGTAGAATACGGCAGATGAGCGGAGAAGCAGCTTATAAAGTATGGCAGGAGAGGTGTAGCAGTCATAGGTAGTGTCACATTTGGTTCATTGTGGAAGTAGGTTGTTGCCCAAGAATTGGCAAGCGAAGAATTCCTAAGTATTAAGATCCAAGAAGTTGCAGTGTCGGACAGGTTTGTAGATGAATGGTTCAGAGCACCCGCCCAGTTGATAATTTGACACATCGTGCAACTCTTGGGTATCTTTATTGAGGAAACGGTCGCCACACAGTGGCTTCATCAGTCCATTAATAGGAGAAACATGAAGAAACAGGAGGAGAATGAGGTAATCAGGCCTCAACCTTGAGTCGATGTGTTCAGTCCATCAATCTTGAGTAGAATACGGCAGATGAGCGGAGAAGCAGCTTATAACCGGTATGGCAGGAGAGGTTAGCAGTCATAGGAAGTGTCACATTTGTTCAATGTGGAAAGTAGGTTGTGCCCAAGAATTTAGGCAAGCGGAATTCCTAAGTATTAAGATCCAAGAAGTTGCAGTGGTCTGAAGGGTTTGTAGATGAATGGTTCAGAGAACGACATTGTTGATAAATTAGAAAACATGTTGCAACTTTTGGGTATATTTATTGAGGAAACGTTTCGCCACACAGTGGCTTTCATCAGTCCATACATAGGAGAAACTAGAAGAAAAGTGAGGTGAATGAGGGTAATCAGTCCCTCAACCTTGAGTCGGATGTGTTCAGTCCATCAATCTTGAGTAGATACGGCAGATGGAGCGGCGAGGAGAAGCGCTTATAAACCGTATGGCAGGAGAGGTGTAGCAGTCATAGGTAGAGTCCACATTTGTTCAATGTGGGAAGTAGGTTGTGCCAAGAATTAGGAAGCGAAGGAACTTTTTTTTTTTTCCCTAAGGTATACAGATCCCGGAAGTTGCAGTGTCTGACAGGTTTTGTGATGATGGTTCAGAGAAACCGACATGTTGATTAAATGAGACACATGTGCCAACTCTTGAGGTATCTTTTATTGAGGAAACGTATATTGAGGAAAAGTACACATCGACTCAGGTTGAGGGACTGATTACCTCATTCTCCTCCTGTTTCTTCAAGTTTCTCCTTGTTTGGACTGATGAAGCCACTGTGTGGCGAAACGTTTCCTCAATAAGATACCAAGAGTTGCACATGTGCTATTTATCAACATGTCGGTACTCTGGGAACCATTCATCTACAAACCTGTCAGACACTGCAAACTTCTTGGGATCTTATAATACTTAGGAATTCTTCGCTGCCTAATTCTTGGGCCACAACCTACTTCCACATTGAAACAAATGTGACACTACCTATGACTGCTACACCTCTCCTGCCATCGGTTTATAAGCTGCTTCTCGACTTCATCTGCCGTTTATTCTACTCAGATTGATGGAATGAACAATCGACTCAAGAGTTGAGGGACTGATAACCTCAGTCTCTACAGTTTCTTCAAGTTTCTCCTATGTATGACTGATGGAAGCCACTGTGTGGCGAACCGGTTTCCTCAATAATGATACCAAGAGTTGCACATGTGTCTAATATTATCAACATGCGGTTCTCTGACCATTCATCTACAAAACTGTCAGACACTGAAACTTCTTGGGGATCTTATACTTAGGAATCCCTTCGCTTGCCTAATTCTTGGGCACAACTACTTCCACATGAACAAATGTGACACTACCTATGACTGCCTACACATCTCTGCCATACGGTTCTATAAGCTGATTCCTCCGCTATCCAGCAGTATTTCTACTTCAAGATTGATGGACTGAAACACATCGAAACTCAAGGTTGAGGGACCTGATTACCTCATTCTCACCTGTTTTCTTATGTTTTCTCCTATGTATGGACTGATTGAAGCCACTGTGTGGCGAAAACGTTTCCAAATAAAGATTACCAAGAGTTGACATGTGTCTAATTTATCAACATGTCGGTTCTCTGAACCATTCATCTACAAACCTGTCTGACACTGCAACTTCTTGGGATCTTAATACTTAGGAATTCTTCGTTGACTAATTCTGGGGCACAACCTACTTCCACATTGAACAAATGTGACACTACCTAGGCTGCTAAAAACCCCTCCCTGCCATACGGTTTATAAGCTGCCCCCCTTTTCCGCCATTGCCGTATTCTACCCAAAATTGATGGGCTGAACACATCGATCAAGGTTTAGGACTGATTACCTCATTCCCTCCTGTTTCTTCAAGTTTCTCCTATTATGGCGAGAAGCCACTTTTGGGGATCGTTTCTCAAAAAGATACCCAAGGTTGCAACTGTGCTAAATTATCAACAGTCGGTTCTCTGAAAACCTTTTCATTCAACAGGCTGGGTTAAAAAGATAACACTTATACGCCGTGAACGGCTTTTGGATGCTAAAAATTTGGGGGTTTGGTGGATGAATTTTATTTTTGTGAAAAAAAAGAAAATAAAATAAAAAGGGGCCCCCCGGGGTTAATTCAAAAAGATTTGGCAAAGATTGGATACAATTAGGGGGAAGTAGGAGGAGGGGAAAAATTCAGAAAATTTTGGGAAGGGGGCGGCAGCAGAGAGTCTTGAAGGTGAGGGGAATAAGAAAAGAGAGGGGAAAAAAGGGATGGTCACTTAGGGTTTTTGGAGAAAAGAACTTTTTCCGGGAAGCAAGGGGGGGAATGTATAAGTATATTTTTTCCAACACTCCCATAGGGTGTGAAGCATGGGTGATAATTTTTAACCAAAAAAAAGGGAAGGTGGGGCAGTGGAGATATCTTTTTTGAGGGGAAAAGGTTGGGAAACTAATCAGAGAATTGTAGTTTGGGAAATTTAAAAGGGGAGCAGGTTACCAAAACTATTTTTTGAGAGGGGCTGGGGAAAGGGGGTTGAGGTGGTTCGGGTATTTGAGAAAAAAGAAACAAACAATGGCTTTCGGAATGTTTAAATTTGTAGTGGAGGGGAAAGGGGGGGTAGGGGGGGCGGCCTGAAAATGTTTTGGGGGAGGGGGAAAAAAGTTTTTTTTGGTTTTCGAGGGGGTTGGACTTCCAGCAAGAAGCTTGAGCATTTTATGGAGTGAATGGAGATAAATGGTTTTTTTAAAACTTGACGTGCTATTGGAATGTGAGCACAGTAACATTTATGAAGGGATTCAGGGAAACCGGCAGGCCGGACTTGAGTCCTGGAGATGGGAAGTACAGTGTCTGCACTCTGAAGGAGGGGTGTTAATGTTGCAGTTTTTATAACTGTAGTGTAAAGCATTTCCCTCTGGCAAGACAGTGATGGAGTGAATGGTGAAAGTTTTTCTTTCTCAGGCCACCCTGCCTAAGTGGGAATCGGCCGATGTGTTATAAAATAATATATATATATATATATATAATATATTATATATATATATATATATATTTTATATATAATATATATATATATATATATATATATATGTATTATATATAAATTATATATATATATATATATATATATGTATATATATATATATATATATATATTTATATATATATATATATATATATATATATATTTTATATATATATGTATATATATTATTTTTTTTTTATTTTTTTTTTATCACACTGGCCGATTCCCACCAAGGCAGGGTGGCCCGAAAAAGAAAAACTTTCACCATCATTCACTCCATCATGTCTTGCCAGAAGGGTGCTTTACACTACAGTTTTAAACTGCAACATTAACACCCCTCCTTCAGAGTGCAGGCACTGTACTTTCCCCTCTCCAGGACTCAAGTCCGGCCTGCCGGTTCCCTGTTGGAGTGTGAGCAAAGTGTATATATATATAATATATATATATATATATAATATATATATATATATATATATATATATAATATTATATATATATATATATGCAAGAAGCTCCATGAAAAAGTCGCAATCATATTTAAATGGCTGATTATCTGCGCCAGTGCTGTGATTTATAGATGTTTTCCCTCTAGTTAGATAATCCATGAACATTTTCAACTATTCTCATCTTATTCTGCAGTACGGGGCACGGCAAAAGACCGGGGCATCATGCATCACCTCAATTTTCTACTCTACAGATATAGTTTGGTTTTGTAGGGAAACCCGTACTGAGTCACGGAAGGGGTGCGGGAGTCCCGCTCAACTGTGACTTAGGCAAGAGCGTCCACTTGACCTAATACTAAACATGAAAACTTAAAGACTATCAACCTAGAGCATTTTGAAATTCCCATATGCAATGTCCAATTACAAGGTGTTAGAGAGATCTGTAATCAGCAGGATAAGGTAAGATGAAGGGCAACCTGATAACCATTTCAAATT